AGATGAGTCGGCCAATTTGATGTCTGAGTTCTTTATAATAAACGATAGAAATTATAATGTTTTAATGTTCATCGATTATCAGAGGGAATTTCAGAAACACAGAGTTCGCATTGACGTAAAATATTCAGTAACGTTGAATCCGTGCAACTTGAGCGAACTGGAAGAAATATAAAAGAACACAATAGCTCAATCGACGTCCTGAGCGTCGTGCAGGCAACGTGTGTCCTGAGCGTCGTGTAGGCAACGTGTGCCCTGAGTGTCGTGTAGGCAGCGTGTGTCCTGAGTGTCGTGTAGGCAGCGTGTGCCCTGAGCGTCGTGCAGGCAACGTGTGACCTGAGCGTCGTATAGGCAACGTGTGTCCTGAGTGTCGTGTAGGCAGCGTGTGCCCTGAGCGTCGTGCAGGCAACGTGTGACCTGAGTGTCGTGTAGGCAGCGTGTGCCCTGAGCGTCGTGTAGGCAGCGTGAGGGAGTGTGGTCGAGCAGAGCGTGTCGAGCGTGTGGTCCGCGTTAAACACTTCGAGGCTCGCACAGCAACGACACTTTGATTGCAGGCTCAGTTCACTTTATTTGTAAGCTGAAACGTCATAGTAATCTTTGTATGAACTATTTGAGGAACAAAGTAGTCTAGGGATAGGCAATGAGAATTAATCAAAAAATTTTGTACCAGTGAACAACGTACCTGCAAACTAACCATAGTGTTAATAAAACGAAAATTAGTTTAATATGCTAACAAATTAATACAAGTCAAATTTAGCTTGAATTGATAAAATTTGTCTTTGCAAACAACTGCAATCAAAATGAAAATGATTTAGAAAAATATACGGAATTTAAAACCATTATTTAACTTACACAGCTTATTTTCGTCTTCAGCTGAGGCTAGTACCCAAATAAATTTTTAAATTTTAAAAAAGAAAAATTATGAAAAACTTTACATGTGCCACAGCTCACAGGGTCAGTAATAAGAGGTACATTTTTAGCGCATCTTCTTATTTATGGAAAAAGGTGCTATTGTGCTCGTCATGTCCGTCCGTCCGTCTGTCTGTCCATCTGTCCGTGACTTCACGTTTTCGTCGACGAGAAAATGCGCTCTTTGTCACTCACTGCAGTGAGTACTGAGTTATATTTTTTAACTGATCGAGCGATCTTACGAAGAACGAAGACATGAAACGATGCTCGTGGAGGCAAACAACGGTATCAAGTGTGAGATCAGCTATGATGCAGTCGAGCGAATTTATAGTTGTTTAATAGATGAAATTGCGATTCAACAATTTTTTATTACGTCGGCATCATTCTTACCATCAAAAATCGCATTCTACATTGAAAGGAGCACGTAACAAGCTCATGCTCTGATTTTTCTAACAGTTTACATTGATACGATGAACTTACCGTGACTTGAATCGCCAAGCGCCTAATTCAACGCTCATCAATGAGAAGAGAAACCAGATTATTGTTGGCAGTTTCAAATTCGTTGAAGCCTTACTAGAACTTAATCAATTGTATTAGGGGAAGTACTATTAGGGGAAGATTACTTGAAAAATATTTCGACTGATGTGGTAGACTTAAAGCCACAACTTAGAATTAGATATCCGAATATATATATATATATATCTACAGCTGCTGGAGTAGTAATGATGCTGATTACCGCGAAAAATAATCATTATTAGGAAATATGAATATTATAAAATATTAGCAGACCTACTGAAGGTCAATTTCCTAATTTTAATAAAGAATTCACGTGCACCAACCAGGCTTCAAACAAATTTATTATACATTGTAACATATCTATATTAATCAATATCTTAATGAATGCTATCAATGCCAGGCCAGGAATTGCTGCTAATCGAAAATAAGTACACATAAATTTATACTTTTATTTAAACTTTTTGCAGCAGCCTGACAAACTTTGATATATGAAAATAATACGAAATTATGAATATATAAAAACAAATTGCGAAATTATGCCTTTCACTCATTTGATGAAGACAGATTAAATGCTGTATTTTAATTCCGTACAAAATAAATAATGCTTTTAGAATATATTTGAAACTATTACTATATTTAACTGAAATAAAGAAAAGTTTATACGTTGCCTACACGACGCTTTGGGCACAGGTTGCCTACACGACGCTCAGGGCACACGTTGCCTACACGACACTCAATCTGCATTGATATTTTCCCTCAAGTTTATTATGAATAAATGAATAAACCTAGTGAAGGACAGCTAAATTTCCGCCTAATAATTTGAGATGCTCTCTAGACTCTTGTTTGTTCAATGTTAAGCTTGCGTTGAGCTTTGTATAATACAAAGTATCTGGTTTTGTATGATACAACTCGGTTTGCTGAATGATTAAATTTAACGCTCCGGTAAAATATAAACGAGAATATAAAAATCATTTCCTAAAGCACGGATTCCAATGGCTTCGAATTGCGAATGTGTCGCAGCTGTGATAAGGTAAAGGTGCCGCTGCAGCACAGCAGTAGATGTGCAAATTTAACAGTTGTTATTATATCTAACGTAATTTTTTATGGTAAGAATTTCAGAAATTTATTTGGACTTTTTCTCTTGCATTCCTAGTTGTCACCATTTGAATTGTTTGTATGATTTTCTGCTGCAATTGCGACCACGCATACAAGTTAGGGCTTAGGCTACAGATGTGAGAAGAAAAAGTTTAATCAGTCATCAACGTCGAAATCATAGCCCATAGGTATGCTGTTTAACTCACTAGTCTCACTGTTTATTGAGTTTGTATAGTATCTGCTGCCGCCAATACCATTATTGGCTGTTGAACTTTGTATACTAGTTCATCATTCATGATCATGTTCATGAAACCAGAAACCCACTGTGCAGAGAGTGGATCAATATTGCAAGATCTTTGGCGACGCTTCAGTAGCAAAATTTACGCCTTCAAAAGATCTTGCCGACACATTTAGATTGAAATTCTTGCATTTAATATATTTGTCAGTCTTCGGCGAACTATTTAAAAAAGTAAGGTTTCCGATATTGCGATATGTTGGATGGATCAGGATGCAGTGAAGCTTGTCTGGAAATCAGTTGCGATGAGTTCCCGCCAAAAAAATGTAAACATCAAGCTTACAATTACGTAGTTGCGGTCACATTAGAGCGGTCAGACTGCTTTATTACTTGTTCAGTTGACACTTGCTGTACAATCGGACTGTTTTTAAGGTAGAATTAGTTATTTGGGGTAACACGTGCATGCAACCATGTAAATAAATAAGTTTGTTGCTTGTAAATAGTTTTTCATTACTCGGCATAAATGGCTTTTCATTAAAAATTACCTGGCGACGCATCTTAAAATTACCCGGCGACGCTTAGGGCTTAAAAAACCATATATTGGCGACCCTGCATCCACCCTCTGCGCCCTGGCCAGAAACAAGGCCTCAATCAGGCTCAATGCTAGTCATAGTGGCAAACCAGAGATTTTTTAGAATCAGTTCATTTTTAATTTCCTCATCTACTCGATATTTCAATCAATTTCTTATGTATGAAAATGCTGGTATCCAAGATACTTTCTGGTCTACTTATTGGACTCAAAAATGAACTTGAGGAAGAGTCTAAAAAAATTGCTGCTTTGCCACTATGATGCTAGTTATGCTTATGCTACTAACCAGTGCCAAGTGGCCACGCATTCGCATTGTGGCAAAGCAAACTAGTGATTTTTTTAGAATCAATTCATTTTTAATTTTCTCATTTACTCAAGATTCAACCAATATCTTATCATGTAGGGTAAACGCGGTATATTCCGACATCGTAGGTAATTCCGTCACCTCTCCAGCTCCACACTCAGGAAGATGTATATAAACGGGGAAATTTCTCGCATAAATCAATCTAATTATATACGTGTGAACAGCTGCTCCCTACCGTCTCTCAAGTCTCAACTTCTCGCGCCGAGCCGCCGAACGAGAGGTGCGCTGCCATAGACCAGCAAATTACCTCAAATCAGCCCTGGAGCCAACATCAACCTTCTAAACGCTATTGATATAGTCATCCTGGCAGTGGCACCTAAGCAGCTGTACTCAATTGACCCATCGTACCACACGAACTTTAAACCAACAATGCTTCATGAGACAAGCTGCTATTCCACATAGTTAACGGTTGATACGTTGTTATCCAATAATTTTCAACTCATACCATCCCCTCGATGGATTTGATCATCGGCAAGCAAATGTATATGATAGGCGTTAGTCGGACGGTTCTACAGCGATTAAATTGAAAACACTGGTTGTCGTCGTTACTATGGACTTCTTAAGAAATTTATGTAGTAGTAAAATATATAATAAATACGATACAAAAGTCACTTGTTTTAGTCGTATAACATAAATAATTTTCAGAATACTTCAGGCAGGGTGGCCCAGTTGTTTAAGCTCATACTACCAAAATTGGAGCAGAGATGTGCAGGTTCAATCCTGGATCTGCATGTGCTCCAGTTTCTGGTCAGAATCGACAAGGAGGAGCAGTCAAGCAAAATTGGTGCAGTGGGTTGCATGTTCGAGACCGCACCAAGCTGTGAATGTTCTGCGTTGTTAAGAATAGGCGGCAGGCATATGGGGCATTCTTAATGATATAAGTGTCCACACATTCATGTTCCTGAGACGCTTCTTACGTTTTAATCTTTTAAATTTATGTCTATCATATGACTCGTTTGCGATAGTACTCGCATAATCGCATTTAGGTTTTTAAATTGATGATGAAGCTGGCCAGCCCAGCTTTGAACGTTCAAGCATGAGTTATCTCAACAAATGTTTTGCTGGTCAGCAAAACATTTAACATTTCAATTTAGTAGGCCTTTTATGCTGTTATATTCTAAGAATTAAAAATTTTATTGTGCAAGAATAGAACCTTATAGAGCGAATACTTAAGGCAATTATAGGCATGAATTAGAACCGTCTGTAACTCAATTGTTGTTCTAATTTATTGTCGAATTACCTTCCTTACCTTATTAGTAATTGATATGAAGAATATTTAAGACGATTTTTTTTTCAGGTGGAACCCAGCATGGAGATGGTGGTCCCACAATGGTCAACGGAAGGTCTTTGCTGTACTGCATCATCACATCATGGCATTTTATCGTCTGATGAAATCATCGGCATGCGTACGTCGTGGATCAAATCTTATACGTACTTCAGTTGAAATTTTATTCCTACTAACGAACGAAATTAGGTTTGTATTAACGAATAAAATATACCTAATAGAGTTGTCAACAATAATTATACATTTGTCTAAGCTTTTCTGAATTAATTTTCATATTCAAAAAAATATATTGAATCATTTTATATGTATCTCACAACTCACTAAACATTCACTTCTTTTTCATTTCCTTATATATGATACAAAATACCAACAAAATATTTTTTACCCACCCCCCATAAGTTACGTCATTATAATTGGTACTCATTTTATCCATATGAATCTTAGTTGTCGAACGAACCATGAATTCTTTAAATAATCGCTTAGCATTCACTCGCACAAGCGAGCAATTATTCAGCAATGCCTCGAATTGGCTCATATACTCTTATAAGCCTGCCGAGTGACTGAATCCTATTTTTATTTTATTATTTCACGATATTTACCAGTGCACCACTCCTACAATGAATATTTCAATTAGCCCTCTGCAAGGTTTAAGATTACATGTTAATGCAGGGTGGCACAGTGGTTAAAGTTCAGAGTACCAAGATTGGAGCAGAGAGGCGCGGGTTCGAACCCAGCTCTGTGCGCCAGTTTCTGGTCAGAATCGGCAAGGAGGCCTGGCGGTTAAGCACAGCAGAATTGTAGCAGTGAGTTGTGAGTTCGAGACCGCAATATGCTGTGAATATTCTGCGATGTTAAGAATCGGCGACAGGCCTATGGCCTAATAAACGCTGAAACCGCTATTATTATTATTATTATTAACATTAGCTTCAAGAATAAAATTACTGTGTACATTTTATATTGAACAAATTGTTGCCAGTATGTGTGGCAACAATTGTTTTTGCAACAAATTGTGGCAACATCGTTTTCGGATCACTTGTTGAAGTGCCAGTTCCGGTCACAGGTATGTGCTTCTTGTAGAACTTATAATTTTCTTTTGCCGATTTTTCGTTGACTGTGCTCCATGAAACTATTGGAAAAACTGCCTAACGATAGCTCTCTTAGATGTTTTTTTCAAAAAACTAATGGTTTTGTCCATGTTTACAGTAAATTTTGGTTAGTCGTACTTCCGGAATCCAAACGCCGGTGCCGAAATCGCACGTGATTGGCCTTGCTCCTGCATTGAAATTCCGTCCAACTTGTAGAGTAAAATGCAATCATTGTGACTTGTGAAGTTGTGAGGCTGTGTGCATTTAAATTTTACAGACGAAAATGATGTGCAGTGCAGCAGTTTGAACTGCTACGACCTACAAGTAGGAGTAGGCCTAGCCTAGTAGGTGTACCGTGTGGCGTGTAGGAGTAGGTTCTGTTTATTGAATTCTTTACTCTAGGTTGTGCCATTGTGTAAATAATTTTCCTTCATGTAAAACTTTCTGGCATGGCAAAGCAAGATGATGAGCAAGTGGAACAGTTAACAGGACAAAGCCCAAAAGTTGAACAGACAGTGAAATAAGATTACAGGCTAGACTTATAAAATCTGAAATTATGCATCAATAATTTAAAAATTCAAATGTTAATGTTTGACTGTGCACTGTGACAATGAATCTTGTGCCTTGTGGAACTTTTAATGGGGGATTGCCCAATGCTTAGGAGTCACGAGTCCGGACTCAGGAGACACGACTCACGAGACACTCGGAGACAGTAGTGACTACTGACTAGTCAAGAGTGGAAAAATGCTAATTAAACCGTTCAATAATTCTGGTTTCCACGTTGGAAACAATAATTATTGAAAGGTTCAATTGGCTCCTGAAATTCATGTGCGTCAGGTGGAAATTCCACTTGACACACAAGAATTTCAGGTTAGATAAGTGTCAAGTGAGCCAGTACAGTTGACAGGGACGAATATCAGAAATAGTTTCATATGATGGATTTTTCTTGTTCATTATTGATTATACACATTATTATAAAGAAAAGTTGTGCAAATTATGGGATACCTAGTAGATAAGTGGCCTTGTATTGAAATTTGCTAGAGGTTAAGTAGGCAAGAATGGTTACCACTTTAGTGGTGTTTAAATTTATAAAATATAGTTAAAAAGTATTAACAAAATCAATGAACCTCTATGTATATTAATAAATTGTAGATATAAATATATGTGGCAAGACCAGGCAAGTCTGGTCCCAGTTAATGTTTTAGAAAAATTAAAATGTATACTGATGAAACTAATTCAATTCTGAACGTTTTTTGGCTTGAAACCTTGTCACATTTGAATAGCATCTCGCAGAGTCACAGTCTCACAGACTATTTTATCTGTCTGCATATTAATTTGGTGTTTTTTTTCAGCATTCAACAACAGACATGGATTGTGCTGGTCATAATGATGAAAGAGGAAAAGAGGGACAAGAGGATGCTAGCAATAATCCAGCGTCATCACCACTGGCTGCTGTAGAAATTTGTGTACAGTCATCTTCATCAAACCTCAGTACTCCCAGCACTTCAGGTTCAGGTCACTCCTCTGTCTCTGGGAAGGTATAGTGCACTTGTGACTTGTACTGAATTTGGTATATTGGTATTTTATATCTTGTAAATATCTTCAAGAAATCAAGCCTTTTATCAAATTATCTAGAAGCAAACTTATGTATTTTTAAAGTAAAAGTTTTATTCGAGTTAAAACACAATTAAGACCTATGTATAAATAAATTAAATATAATAATTTTAATAAAGTGTGCCTTTGACAAATTATAGGAGGCAAATAAGACAACTTTGCTGAGCTTCTTTAAACGGACTCGACCTGAAGACCTTTCTTCTAATATTCCCTCAAAAAAGAAGAAATCAGTGCCAAAAGATCCTCCACAACAAATCTGCATAAAGTGTGGTCTCACATTCAAGAGAACTAACGCCTACTATCTTGATAGACATGCCACTGAGAGGCATAAAAACGATCCCAGCTATGACGCAAGAAAGGACATCGTCAACATAGATTCACCGAAGAACAAATGGCCTAAACATGATTCAAATAAGCGTGAGTTCCATGGCCTTCAAAACTATGTATTTTTATAATTTCCTACGGCTAAATGCAACTTTTGTGTTTTCGATTACAAACATTATCTCCTACTTTACTATGCATTATCTATAAATGTCGCTTTTTCAATTGAACAAGCTATTCACTTCTAATTAACCATTTCTTCAGGCTGCGACAAGCTGCTGCCATTAGCTGCAGCGCAGTCATCAGTCGATGTTGATCAGGCGTCACCAGCACCGCCTTCATTACCACCACCAGTACCCGTACCTGAAGACAGCATTACGAGTAAGCAACTAAATTATAAAGGCATTTGTAACTAAGCTAATAAAGTGGCATCTAGCTCAGTATACTAAATTTGTGTCGACCCATTGGTAATTTGATTTAATATATTTGCACCGTTTTTTAATCTGTATCACTGTAATTTTCTTTGCTATTATTTCTTAAAGCTTTAAAAATTTTTCAGCTGACATGGAGATGCAATGTGTTTCTCAAGATAGCGCACCAACTCAAGATAGCGCACCAACTCAAGATAGCGCACCAACTCAAGATAGCGCACCAACTCAAGATAGCGCACCAACTCAAGATAGCGCACCAAGCACATCGAAATCGCATCCTCGCACATCTCGTCCAGTCTCCCTTGTTGATTATGTGCAAAAAGCACCATTGATCGAAGCTCCGACTACTGAGACGTCTAGCAATTATGCGGAACTATGTTCTATGATCCGAAACTTGCAAGATAAGATCGACCAACTCGCAACTCAACATCCATCAAAGGTGTGTTAATTAAAATCCACACGTCAATTCTCTAGACTTTGATGTTAACAATTTAGGAAATGGCTATAAACTAATTCTATTAAATTTTTAAATTCAAATCATGTTCCAGACGCTTCAAACCACTACTTGATGTTAACGATTTAGGAAATGGCTATAAACTAATTCTATTTAATTTTTAAATTCAAATGATCATGTTCCAGACGCTTCAAACCTCTACTTATCTAATGGATGCTGCAACTATACTACGTTTTCGTGAGGCAAAATCAATTGCAGCTGTGGCTGCTTTGACTCCGATTGTTTTGGAGCCCATTGAAGATGAAAACACTACAAGAATTTATTGTTCTCTGTGTCGGGAGGCTTTTGGTCTTGAAGGCCGATCTCAACATGGGAAAATGTAAGTATATTCTTGGTATGTGATGTAACAGGATGTAGATGTACTACTTTGATCAAGATATCAAGGCGTGCAACTAGACAAGAGAGCCGCATTTTTCTATATGCGACAGTTTGACTTTGATCCTGCCTGACTCACATCGAAACAGCTCTCTTATATGTGTGAAGTCATGTGTTAGTCTATTGTTCTTGTTCTAATTTATTCCTTATGCTCTCGTTGTTAAAAATAAATATCTTGTTCTTCTTATAAGCCCAAAATTTTCTTTTGATCTCCATTTTTCTCAAATGCTCATTGTTAAATTCCGTTATGAAAATTAATTATTTATCACATGGAGTAGTGTTTTGATACCTCTTGAAGCTAAAAGCTAACAACCTTGACGAGCTTCTTACAATTGGCATGCGATATACTTGCTAGAGGGATTAATCTGAAGGCAAGCGATACAAGTTATCTTGAGACGGTTTATTACATTCTGCATTGGCTTTTTCAATACTATTTATTTAGATTATAGGTAACGAACTTGGTTTACAAAATTTTATTCCATTATTACATTTGATAACATATATGTGTTCATGTTGAATTTACCAGAAATTTGTCATCTCGCAAGTTCTGCTCGGGTTTCTTGGAGAAGAATGAAAACCTTACCGTACCTCATGCCCCAAATAAAAGCAATAAATCATTCTACAATTTGAAAAAAGAAATAGGTAATCACCTCACCGGAATGAGTTCTTCTGGCGATGCGCACATAGAAGCTCACCAATGCAAGCAGAAACGAATAGAAACTGAGGAGAAGAACGTTGACGCATTGGAGAACCTGGTAAGAGCTGCTCTCACGACCATCAAGATGGCTGGCGCAGGGGTGCAGTACGAGTCGTGTGTCTCGCTACTCTCCGGTGCTGGTGCCAACGTCGGCACCCTTCTCCATTCTCGGTAAGGGATGCATATCAATACCTGTATGCATTTGTAGGAGGACGAAGTATGAATTGGGATTCATTGATAAACCAATTTAATGAAGAATTTATTGTTGACATTTCATTTCTTGCAATGACAAAGGTTTCCAAACCGATTGACTCTACAGCAAGCAGATGGAAGGATTCGCAGACGCTATCATTGGGCATTGTAGGCTTAAGCTGCAGCAGTTTCTCACTACGAAATTGCCATCTACTGGGTTTTACCCACATTACAACGTGGCTTGCGACAAGAGCACGCCAGGGCGCGAGTCAAATCAAGCTGTGATGTTACTGGTCCCGTATGCAGGAGTACGACAAGCCTACCCAATAGGCGCACCTAAAGTGTACTCTAATGAAGGGGGCCGCGTAGTTGGTGGCACTGCTGAGGAGTTGGCAGCCCAAGTGATTAATACGCTAGTTGAGTTTGCTCTCCTCGAACCAGTGAACTTGAGCTACTTGATTGGTGGGCATTCAAAGTATTGGAATAAATGTAGCAAGGATTTTGATCCTTTGGTGCTTTCGCGTTTATATCTAAGCATAGGCAGTATGAAAAGTTTTTCCATGCATCACGTTGAAGTTGGGGAGGCGTTGCCAAGCATTTGGTCGGTAATTAGTGCTGACCAGATAAATATTTTGGCACATGAATTTTTATTTTTGTTCCTATTTATAGATTAAATTAATTTTACTAAAGTTTTTTTTCTGCTTTTACATTTAACATATGATTTCCATCTTTCCTTTTATTTATTTTTTTCCTTGTACTTTGTTATCTTGTATGTTGCTACTACTTTCTCTGGCATTATTTCTGACGCTTTAATAATATGTTGCTTATAGTTTCCTTGGCATTATTTCTGACGCTGTTATGATATGTTGCTTATAGTTTATTTGGCATTATTTCAGACGCTTACATGATATGTTGCTCACAGTAACTCTGGCGAGTTGATCTGCTTCTGTAACTAAATATAAAATAAGAAAGGTTTGTACAATTTAAATATAGAATTTCATTGCTGATGCCTATGAAAGTTGATATGTATAACATACATTACCTTCAATTCTATTTAATATCTCACTGTGGTCTGAAACAAATAAATTTTCATGCAATGATAATTGTGATATAAAGGCTTTCACTTACTATATAAACATTCAAGGCTGTAATTTCAGGATAATTAATTCCTTATTTTATTCCCCTTAGCGAATCATTCAGACGGCCAATACCAATCAGTTGGTTTTCAATCTGAACTCTCAAAGCGATGTCAAGCGAACGCAGCAGAGTGTCAGTCAAGAGTACATGAATTTCCCGTTGTTTGGGATGGAGCACATTGGCTGGATTTATCTATCAAAACAACGAAAGACAAGTCTTCATCTTCCAAGTTCTTCAAAAAGTTCTTAGAAAGGGCAAATTGTTTCCACGACATGTTTGGTTCAGGACGTGGCTCTCAGGAGTACAAAGCCGTGTTGGACGAGACGGACGCGAAAGGAGTTCGTTTATCCGGATATTCAGTGACCAGGTTTGTCCATGTTTGAATATATTCTTTTATCATAACTAGCATTTTCCTATGAATGAAGGAATGATTTATTGGGCTATTGGTTGCTGCTGACTGTTTTAAGACTCACCTTCAACGCTTGATTCGGAATGATTGAGTAACATGTACAAATCAATTATTCAATTTGTTAGGTTCTCGAGCTCAGCATTTGACTCCCTGAAGGCACTTTACCGCAGCTACCAAGCCCTGATTTTGGCCTATCAAGAGAACCGTGAGACTAAAAGTGATACGGATGAAATGAAATTCAAGGTATGTTCCAAAATTTGTAATAATTTCATCTTATTATGCCAATAACACTATTTCATAGTTGAATGTTTGTTTCAATTTGTCATTTGAAAAAATTAAATTACAGGTTAGGGGATGGGATTTTGCGCTAGAGTTATGTCTAGTCTTGGACATCCTTCAACCTATCGTCTCGGTGATGGTGCTGTGTCAACGAGTCAACCAACAAATTTGGAGCATCGTGGCATGGACTGAAGAATTACTCGAAGTCATGAGAATGATGAAAACCGATCTTGAGAAGCTTGACCGCAAAGAAGATCTACGAGACCTTCCCATCGCCCATTTCCCAATCACTAAGAAACATGCAGACGAGTTATTAAGTTCAACTCCTGAATGCAAGCATGGAACCTTCCACTCAATGCCTTTGTATGAAGGCTGGTTGGTAGAGAAGGAAGAGGGTGGGAGAAATGGAATTCAATGGAAGATGTTAGAATTTAACGAAATTTCAGCGGAAATAACTACTCTAACGACTAATCTTATTGAAAACATCATTATCAGGTTGGTGTCACTGTTGCATAAAATTGTTCCTTGACGTATTTTTGAAATGGCATGTTTTAGAGTTTCATTTGTCGCCGGCATATCGGAATTAATTTGAAAAAAAGTACAGAAGGAATTTAATTTGAAAAAAAGAACAGAAAAAAGTTAATTTCCGATACACCATCACAGAATTGACGTTAAGATGTCTGCGTCTATGAATTATTTGTTAATATTTTCAGAAAGAATAAAGGCATTAACGGCATGGCGTCTACTTTGGCTTCTTGTATCGCTCCTATTCCCATCATCAAGAGGTTGTGTGGAACAAGATATGGTCCCACCATGAGGCCCATATTGGGAGGTGGAGACGAACACCAAATAAGGTTCAAAACCGAAGGTCGAAAAGCCTTCAGAGCGTTCTACGCCTATGTTTGCAAACTACCTCACGTGAGTTTACTATTGCACAGAATTTAAACCTTAGCAAAGAAAATGAATTTCATAAAATCATTTATAGGTGTAGCAGTTGAGAAGAAATTCGAGAAATAAATAGGTTTCAAAATTGGTTCTTGCAGGTTTCATTACGGCAGAAAAGTGACGGCCTCCTTTTTCATGAAGACATGGCCGATGAAGTGTACAGCAAGTATACGGACTTGCTGTACGACATGGTGTGGAACACCAGCTCTCTGTTCCGTAGAGTCTTTATTGACTTACCCACAACCACTGCAAAGCTCGTACAATTGAGCTTCCGTGAGCAAGACCAAAGTACTCTGAAAGCACCGGTCTTCCACCTCCGCTTCTCTGACACGTCGGAGGCAATCAGCGCATTTGATGAAGGTGCCTTCATCTCGGCAATCTACAATGACGAAGAGGTAATTTGTTACAAATTCTAATTATCAGAAAGTTAAGAGTGCTGTTTCGTGGGTTGTTCAGAGCCTGTCCTTGTAAATAGATGGGGGGGGGTTATATTTTAGGGCATATTCACAATTGAAACCACTTCAGTTTAAGAATTATTAATGCATGGCAGACGATTTTTCTTCGTGCGGTAAGGATAAAATCCCCAACAGAGATTGGCAAGTCTCATGTTTTCTCGATCCTGGTAACACAATGGTGAATTACCATCAAATGGGGACAGTGAGGGACGGGCGAGGTAATAAATGACAGTCCTTCGTCATTTCGTAGAAATGTTGTATCAGCTAAACTAACTAAAATATTGCAAAACTAAAAATAGTAGTGTAAAGTTTTTCCTATCTATGTAGCATAAAGCCATAAAGCAAGTTAAGAAATCGTACGTTAACCTATAAAAGATCCCTGAATGAAAGTGTGAAAGGTGAGATTTTTGAAAAGTACATATGCTAAGGTCTGCAGCAAAAAAATTTGTCGTATTAAAAAATTTACTTGCATAAACGTTCCACACAGGTGTCGGCTTAGAAACGTGATTGAGGGAATTTGCATACTGTAGTGTAGTTTTAAATTCATGACCCAAATCAGACCCAAAAGATTGACGAGTTGTGTAATTTTCATTTATTAGCAACATATTTGGTAGTATAATAAATTCTTGTTAGCTAATATTTCTTTCTTTCAGGTCTACACGAAGTTGGGCGTTGAATCTGCAACCACTCTAGACGTCGCCGTAGCAATGGGCGGCTGCGAAGCAGTTGTCGAAGGATTTTACTCTGTCGTCCAGCGGCATTTAAAAGTGGGAGGGTTGGACAATAAAACACTTGTAGGCAGAGCCACTGTCGATTGGCTTTTGCCACCCCCCATTAGATGCCCGGCAACCATCCGATCTATTGCGAACCTTTTCCATAAAGGGGACCCAAGGATGAACTTATTGCCTCACAGGGATGCAAATCATTCCGATCCCCGAAATCGAGGAAAGTTCTCTGACATCAGCAAAGTATTGATGCGACACAAACAGGAACCCGTTAAATGCCCGCTTTTTATGGATAAGGAAGACCTCAGTGACTTTGTTTAGCTTTTGAATAAATAACATAAACTTTCTTTCTTTCGTTGTTCTGAGAAGCATTACCGCTAGGTTCAAGCTGAAAGTCCGATGCAGATTTTGTGCTCTCAAACATCCATATTTTCTAACTTGGTTATTACTGACTGTAGAGTTAGACGTTTATTGAACTGCTCCGATGTCCCTCCTTATTCATAACGAACTAACTTTTTTCAACCTCTCTATACTCATCTATTATAATTATGATTCCATAGTCAAAGGAATATTAAGAAGGAAATCGCGTCTTTGGTCGGTTTGCATGCGCTATTCGAATTTTCTCTAATGTAACTTTATGCACTTATTCTTTCCGTAGGTTTCGAGTCCTCCTCAATTATCTACATTAATTCAAATAATAGTAATTCACCTTAATTCAAGGGAATTGATTTTCGCCTTTTTCTCTTCTGTTTCCGCACAGGTTATTATTTTCCGATACGAAATTCTAATTTCTCCTGATCGCCCGTGAAAAGTACAAATAAATTTGTTCATGGTATAGGTTTTTCCTTCAAATATGTACTGTTGCTGCAAACTGTTCTCTGTTTTTGAACGGCTCAATTGTCATTTACCGACGTCTTTTGACTAGAAATTTTGCTCATTGATTTTGTAACATGTCCTACTGCCTTCCTCATGACTGGTTTGTTTCATTTTGTGTCATGTATCGCTTCGTCAGCCCCCTCCACTCGTATAGTTCATTTTGTGTCACGCATCGCTGTGTCACATGTAACGTTCTAGCGATGCCTCGGTAAAAAAATTTGCGTCGGACAAGAATGTTACGTCGTGTAGCAGTTTTTCAAGCTAGCGTCATTCAGTTCATTGAAATTTCATTATATGCTGCATGTTCAACATTTAGGTATACTTAATGCTCGACTTGATTCTTTTGTGATGGTAGTTTGCAGTGTATTTCTATTTTGAAGTGCTGGCCTCATCTAATGGTATTTACAATTGAATTCTTGCATTATTCATTTGTGATAAAAATTTTCTCGAATTTAATGTTTCAATTTTGCTGTATAAAATTATGCAGCTATATCTGGGGGCAAGATTTAACATCGCTAACTATATATCGGTCACTAAATCCATTATGATTCTCAATTGACAGGCTTAAACATTTCCATCGGTATTATTCAACTGGTCGCGATTTTTTTCAACACCGATTTGACATTTCCGTTATAGGATCTTAGTCGTTGTCTCCGAGTATATTTCTGTTATGTTTTAACTTTCACCTATGTTCTCCAACTTACCCTGGTTAATGGGAACTTACATAGATCATAGACTGCATCATTGCGACAAACTAAACTGTCCTTATAAATGTTCACAAATTTGTTTACCCATTGGATGATCGATTAACAAATTTTTCGTTAATTTTTACACATTGGACGTTAGCTTCTTGCATTTGAGACGCTCTCTTTCTCTTTCACGTGCAATTTTTTTCAGTTTCACTTCTTGAAGGTTTAATTCATTGAAAGTTATTCTTTTGTACCTTTTCATTTCTTGTTGTTATGACCTGGTTTTTTATCACAGGAGTTGAGTTGAACGTTTTTGAGGAGCGTTATCCACTGTGCCGCTAATGTTGACCAGTCAGTCGTTTTCAATAATTAAGTTAGGCTCAGGGTAATGCTGCCTGTATTTGGATCCATTTGAATTGATAATCCTACCATCAACGACCAATCAATTGAGCTTTAACTTGATGATGATGTGCAGTAAGGCTCGTCAGTTGGAATATTGCATTTGATAAATGTTGATTCATTTATTAGTGGGAGTCAGCGACTCGGCAGTCAGCAGGCGGTACATTTTCCGGTATTTTAATTTATCTCCTTTGTTGCGAAATGACGCGGCAGTCTGCAGTCTCTTCGTACTGCGTGTCCATTTGGTGAACGTGAGTCATGCGCTAGCCCGTCGCTAAGTAGACTAAAGTAGTTGATACTATAGTCGTTACGAATATTATCATTTTGGTCCATTTACAAATGGCTTACGTGTAATGAAATGAAGAATTATTGCTAGTGACGTACTTTTTAAATGCTTATTGCGCTTAATTGAGAAATCGTAGCCTAGCACTACGGCACGGGTGAAATCATCCATGGACTGATTGCCCCGGGTGAAATTACCCATGGACTGATGGCCCCGGGTGAAATTACCCATGGACGGGCGAAATTGTGACATTTATACGGGTGATTTTTGTTCATCGACGGGTGGCTTCTGCCCGATTTTCCAGTCTGGACGGCCAGTGTAGCTGTTAGCTCACCTTCTTCAGAAGTGTGAAAGCTTTTGCCGGTGAAGGTGTGTTTTACGATCGGTCCATAAAGAAGCGTTGATCGGTTCAAAATGACATAAGAACAAGTTCTTTTGAATAACCTATGGATTGGCACCATGGGCCTTTGCAAGTTGCAACGGCCATCAGCCACACATTGCATATTCATTTATTAGTAGGAAGGAAAAAGTGAGACCAAGCCAGGTGGAAGCGACATGGAAGGAGAGGCTAGAGAAGTGTGAAAGTTTTTGTTACGGAGAGACAAAAACAAGGAGATGAGAAATTTAATGTTAGATTTAGCCTATATTATAAATAATTTTCAGAATAATAATAGATAATTTTCAGAATAAATGCTAGAAATTAATATTAGCACTCACCCAACAGAAGGAAGAAAGATATTATTACAAGTTTGATCATTATTCGAGCATATAATCAATAACAGTTTCTTCGTTTTGCGTACCCTACACAACAAATACATCAGTGACACTGAAGTGCAAGAATGATTCTGTCCGCTTTTTGATAGGTTACCGGATCGTAGCAGGAGAAAAACGCCAATTCAGCTAACGAAAAATGGCCAAAAACGGCCCTAATTCAATGATAATTAGAAAATTGTATTTACTGTAGTAAATCATATAGCTTGTCCTTCAGATTTTAAAAAATGTATGGAAAAATTACACTAATAACTAAAATATCGATGTTTTAAATCAAGTAATATAAATAAATTTATCACTTCTTGCCTGACTTGTGCTGTTATGAGAGTTTTACCAACAAGAAATATTTACCAATATTCTCCTGGCGCAAATCTTGCGTCTCTGGAACGACTGAGTATCACAGGAGAGATCTTTCAGAAGTAATAACATACGTAACATAGTGAAGTCGGTGCTGATGCGGCCTGTCGCCAATTCTTTACAGGGGATTTTATGTTTATCACAGTATGACATGATCTCACTGACGAGTTTATGCTCATAGAGGTTACAGGGGAGGCTGGTCAGCGAGATGAGTCTGTATGTCTTGGCACAGTAACATTCTCCTTTCTTGAACGCAGGGTACACGTTCGCATTCATCTAGTCCTCAGGCACAACCCCAGTGCCAAGAGACGCTTGGCACAGAAGGGTGAGCGTTGGGGCTGGTCCTGTCGCCAACCTCTTTAATGCCCGAGCGCTAATCCTCTCCGGACCACAGGCCTCAGAGGGGTTAATATTACGAAGCAGCTTATCAACACCTGAGCTCGGAACGTGTACCTGATCCTAAAGTCATTTGCTGGCGTCCACGGGTGGCATCGGGCATCTTAACTTGAACTGATTTTCTGAAAAATCCTCACGGCTCGTGAACGCGGACAGAAACTGCGGGTTTAGAATTTCTGATTTGTCTTCGTCGTTCGTGACAAGCTTTCCTGCTACTTCGAGAGGATATATGCCATGATTTTCATTCTGACTTGATTTAATGAAAGACCAAAAATTTTTGGTGGGGCGATGCTGCTCAGCCTGCTCCCTGTTGATAAGACCATCCACATACCTCCAGTACTGGCTTCCCAACCTCTGCTGCACTTGTCTTTTTAGTGACTTGAATGCATAGAAGAGATCTCATCTTCCAGTTTTATTCCTTTTTTTGTGTAACCTTGCTCTCCGTCTGATGAGCCTGAAGAGCGACAGCTGAACCATGTTCAGCAGTCCAGTCTCATGCCTCACCTCCAGTCTGCGTACGGTCAACTCCACTCGACAGAAACCGCTATCCTGAAGGTGCTTTCAGATATTTTGCGATCAGTAGATCTCGGCTACATTGCGGCATTGGCTTTACTCGACCAGTCGGCCGCGTTTGACACGGTCGACAACGCCACTTTATTCCGTCGACTTGACCTATCATTCGACTCGTGATGCGGTGTTTCGAGTCTCATCTCAGTAACAGAGTCCAACGCGTTCGATGCGGGAAGTCTTCTTCTACGCCATCGTTGGTCAGTTGCGGTATCACTGATACCCCAGGTATCAGTTCTAGGCCCAATCGTCTTCCTCTTATATACTGTCGACGTCTTGGATATATTTGATTCACATGGTTTGAATCGGCCTATGTTCGCCGAAGATACTCCAATTTAAAGTTACTGTGTGCCGGCTGACGATGCAGCGTTGCTGGACCGGATGTCTGTCCGCATGAATTCAGATTGGGTAACTGTGCGCAGTGGCGTACCGCAAGGAAGCGTTCTTGGACCTGTTTTGTTCGTCGCTTTTATAAACGATCTACCAGAAGTAGTGTCAAGCGTGTGCTCCATGTATGCCCATGACACAAAAATACTATACTATACTATACTATACTATACTATACTATACTATACTATACTATACTATACTATACTATACTATACTATACTATACTATATATGGATGCCGTCCAAGACTGGATGCAAGCCAACCGGCTAAATCTCCATGCATCAAGAACCGACTTTATTTGGTTTGCGACTGCTCGGCGCAACATCAGCTGCGCCAAGAACCTGGAACAGTCTACCAGCTTCCGAAACATCGGCTCCTTCATCGCTTGTGCTTCGTTGGCGCCTAAAGACGGAACTATTTCGTAGAGCCTACGAATCAAGTGTTATCCGAACATGAGTCTGTTTTACTCGTACTCCATCTCGTATGAATTTCTGCTAAATCGATCAGGAAAAGTTAGAATTTTGAATCTTGGAGTCAAAAAAATTATATTTTTGACAAACGGTCCCATTTCATTGAGTCGGCCAAAACCATTGCAAAAAGGCCAAAATCAGAAAACTTGGCCGAAAAACTGGCTCAAGGTAGACTGGAGTATTTACCCCACACTGAGCAAAGGAGCAAAATACGAATATTACGTAACATAAAAATTGAAATATCAATAATAAAGAGAGCCAAAAAATAATTAATCAGCATTTTCTAATTAATTAGAGAAAATACGAAATTAACTGGACAGAAATATTTAAAAAATATCGGGGTATGCACATTATGCAGCTCATAAATATGAATACGTCAATATAACTAAATTATATTCAGAAACAATAATCTAAAAAACGCAATTTTCCATTGGCGAAAAGGAGTGAAAAATATAAAGGGATTGGATGCTTTAAAAGTGTCAGATGTTGTCCTTAACAAAGCTGATAGCGACTAACGAACGTAGATGAAAATATTAAAAAATATAACTCAGCACTCACTGCAGTGAGTGACAGAGAGCGCATTTTCTCGTCGACGTAAACGTGAAGTCACGGACGTACAGACAGACGGACGGGCAGACGGACATAGCGAGAACAATAGTTCATTTTTTCATAAATGAGAAAATGCGCTAAAAAGAAGAAATATTGGTACAATAATTTGTTCGAAATAAAATAGTTTCAATAAGTTAAACAATTAATTACTCCACTGGCAATAATTTCCAAACAAAACGTATTTATTCAATCTTCATGATCAATCTTGATCTGATTCCATGCAATTTCTACTGAAGTTTCAATACCATAAATGTAGGAATGCAGTTTTGTGAAATAACGTGTAGCAGAAAGGAACATACTGTATACATTGAATGTAAATACATAGTAAATGTAAACAAATGCATTTCAATTAGAAGGTGTATCCAAATCTTCATTGCTGACTTGTGCATGTGTAAATTCAAGTGGCTGTACGTGGATATAATATAATAATAATAATAGCGGTTTCAGCGTTTATTATGCCGTAGGCCTGTCGCCGATTCTTAACATCGCAGAACATTCACAGCTTGTTGCGGTCTCGAACTCGCAGCTCACTGCTACAATTTTGCTTTGCTAACCGCCCGGCCTCCTTGCCGATTCTGACCAGAAACTGGCGCACAGAGCTGGGATCGAACCCGCGCCTCTCTGCGCCAATCTTGGTACTCTGAACTTTAACCACTGGGCCACCCTGCCAAATATGTTTCAAATGAGTTGTCAAATCGAACGTTCGGACATTATCATTACTGTAATAAACTAAGACAATTAATGTTAAAGTATTGACCTGATTGTAATTATTTAATGAGACACAAAACATGACCATTTAAAAAGTCTACGGAAATAATGAGCAGATTTCATTATAGATGACTGTTTAAAATCTGCGGAGAATGAACTGAAGATTCAATTTACTTTCTTCACGAGTGCGTTACTTAAATTGAGTATTGAATCATTGTGCATCGTAATAAAAACAATCTTAAAATGAGGTTCAAGAATATAAATAATCTTAAAATGATGTTCCATAATAAGGGAAAAAGGTCACGTGTGCCAAGCGTTCCAGAATCTCCTTATACCTGAATTTTGCTGCGAGTAAATTAGAGCTAAGAACATCTTATGACGCCATACGGCCATGTGCACTCTAAGCCGACACTTTTTGTTCCAGAGCGAACAGAAGTTGGTGCTCTTTATTTGTATGCTAAAAATTCTGATAATTAGTCATTAGAATTCAAAGAACCGGGAAAGAAAAAGGACAAATTCAGCCGAAAAATAACATATTTACGACTTCAGTTATCAGCATGTAGTCGTAAATGACAATTGTAGTACGGAAAGCTATTTTAATGACCAGATTCTGGGATGAATTAGTAAAACCTCAAATTTATTCGTTAATTGAAGCTCAAAGATTTTACTCTCGATCATTTTTTATCAAAAATTGTACTCATCGCCAAACATAGAATCATTCTAAATAGTGAAGCAAAATTTACAATGTTACTTTTAATTCAAGTACTCCATGTTGACCTTGGTAAATTGTGATGAAAATCTCCTCATTAACACGTTTCATAATTTTCCGCGGCACAAAAGTAGGCACAAGCAAAAATATAGACATTCTAGTGACAAGGGCCGCGGAGCAAGCAAATTCGCCAAGTTTAGGAGTCCAATCTCCGGTGCAAATTCCGATGGGATATTGCGACAACTGAAGCAGCGATCACTGAGGCTCGCGGAGCAATGGTTCAGAAACCCGGCCACGACCTGGCAAATGTATGTATGTTGTGAGTGA